TGTGTTTTTTGCTTTGTGTGTGTTTTTGTTTTGTATGTATGTTTTTTTCTTTTGTTTTGTGTGTGTGTGTATGTGTGTGTGTATGTGTGTGTGTCTGTGTGTCTGTTTGTGTGTAGGTCCTACATGCGTGCGAGCGCGCGCGTTTATGCACATATATAATTATATCAACCTGCCTTCTCTGTATCATTCATGCCTGACTAACAAGTCCACACCAGCCCGCACCTCTCAGCAATAATTACGTCCGTCTCGGTAGACCTAGTCTAGATCTAGATCAAAACGGTTAACAAACTCCCATCATTAAAGCAAACAAAGCGGGCGGTTGGCGGGTGCTCTGATGTGGTTTTCTTCTTCTTTCCTATGAAACATCTATCGTTCTTATCTGCCCTTCTTCTGTTTTATGTTTGTTGCTCTCTTGTAACACCTTTAATCTTCTTGCGCTCATGTGACCTTATGCAGTTGCGAGCGCCGTAAATCCTCTACTAAAACAAACAAAAAACTCCGATCATTAATAAAGCCTGCAGCACGCCACATACAGCAGCTACACACCTCGCGAATCGCCCGAGGCTCGGCTCGGCTAGGCTCGATAATCATCAAGGATAACCGTATTAGGGGGCTGGTCAAAGGTTTTACCTTCCCTCTCTAAACACACAGCAGAGGACCGATCACGTTGAATACATTATTTTCCACAAAGATGGGGTCGATAGATTTTCTGAAACGGTGTTTGTTGAGGTGCAGGTCCGGAGACAATGACCGTCATAATAATAATAATGATAATGATGGTAATATATTCGTGGATGTTCCCAGTTTCGGACACACAGTGAAAGAGTTGTTCAAGTTTTTGGAAGTTCGTTCGTATTTGTATATAGCTTTCAGGTACGCATGAGAACAAGTTGAAAATTTTACGTTTTAATTGTATTTGTTTTTGTTTTCTTTTTGCTTGTTTGTTTTCGTTGTTTGTTTGGTTTTTTGTTTGTTGTTTTTTGTTTGTTTTGTTGTTGTTGTTTTTTCCTTTTCTCTTCAAATGAATTGAAGTAATAGTTTTCATTTATTTATTAATAAGCTGTTTTCACTTCTTTCTAATGGATGTTCTGATAGTAAGGACGTAATTGTTTTGTCTGAATCAATAATTAAGTACGCTGTTTAGAATTCTTTCTTATTAATGTTTTCATATGTATTTATTATAATGTTTTATTTAACCGGTACTTGTTCGCATTTAAGACTTCTTTCTCTTGTGTGACAAAATAATAATACCAAGCTTTATTAAAAATTCCTTTTTTTCCCCCTTGTCTTTCATTGCTTTATCAATCAGACCATGTATCTATTACTCTTGCTAATTTTCACCTTCTTTTTACTTCTAAATTCGTTTGGTACTAATACTTCTATCTCCTCCTATCCTTGTGTTCTCTCTCTCTCTCTCTCTCT